CGACCTCGGCCAACTCCTCAGCTGCATCTGGCCGGCTCGCAGCCGTTCGCGTGCTATTGGCAGCAAGCTGTGGCACGGCTGCCTCAATTATTGGGCGCACGGCTTCGGTACACTGCGAATACTCACCATCACATAATGGTGCAACTGGGGGGATGCCTAGCCCGCCACGGCGGCATGGAAGTCCCATAAGCTGACGAAGGGGATCGTCACTGCTTAGAGACACACCAGCAATTGCAGGCAGCAGGGAATTATTAATTGCATCATCCAATCTAGTAAATAGGTCGGGAGAGCAATTTACGGCCCGAAGGCAATAACGCCAGCGCGAAATAATGCTGCGCACAAGCACAGTATATGCAGCATGTGGCTGAGTAGTGGCGAGTTCGGAAAGGTGCTCGACTTGGCGAACCCACTTATCAACCTTGCCCGATACAAATGTGTGCAGGAATCTCTCAGACCCAAGGGCGCCACTAAGATAAATGCAACCATCCATAACAATTCTCACCCCAGTCCCAGCGAATAATTCCTGCGCTGCGTGCTCGAGAGATGGCTTCAGGAGAAGAACTGTCTTCTCCGGATTGGGGTGTTACCCATAGTCGGGTCCCAGCTGCAATAACTTAGACCAGTAAAGGGATGCGGCTTGAAGGGTGCCAGCAGCGGAATCATCATCAGCGTACCTCAGCTGGGTGGTGTTTGGACATTCGTGTGAAAGTTTGTTTATGAGAGGCATAACAGCAACAGCGTAAATGGCCATCGCAAGGGGGTCACCCTGGCAGGTCCCCTCACGGGAAAGAATTTCGCCCCCACCCGCTACGAAGAGGCGGCATGGCGCGCCATACGTGTTCTTGAACACCTGACCTAAAGCAGGACAGAGAGCGGGAACATTGTGCAGGGCAGCATTCCTATTTAGAGAATTGAGTGCATTAGATGCATCTATTAGCAGCACGGCTTCGGTTTCAGGAAGACCAAAAACCCCTGCCATTGCCTGAACGGCAGCCTCGCAAGCAGCTGGCATGCCAACGCAAAGTTGGCGCGGGGCAGTCGCAGCTCTTACGTCGCTTTCGATCACCTTCATTATCGCTCGCCCTATAATCCTCCTAAACACCTCCCCAACAGCTATGGGTCTAACACCTGGGGATTTATCAAGGGGGATCAGGCGAGCGGCAGTGAATGCCTCCATGAAACTCGGCTCGATATTCGCAGTACACAATACGCGTGCCGAATCCGCCAATGCAGTGCAAAGTCGGTTGGAAGCTGGGCCGAAGCACGTTAGCATCCTGGTCCAGGCCTCCGAGTCTAGTCCGGACGGACCAGCGGCGCCCTTCATGGACCTGCTCACAAACTTGATGAGGCTTGGCGTGATGCGCTCGAAGAGTATTGGGTTCACCCGCTGTGAGTCGGTCGGCGCCACCAATGAGCCAGGAACCGCCGGTGAGGGAGACGGGTGCTTGTCATGCAGTACCTCACGCACAGTCTTGTCACCACCGGCCGAGTCCTCCATCCCGAGCACTGAGCCAGGTGAGTCATCACCTACCATCCTCGCTGCAGAGTGAACCTTCCCTGCGAATACTCGTCGACTGAAGGTTGTATCGTTCACTGTATCAGGCAGTTTCTGGCGACGCTTCCCAGCGGGTAGGTGTGCTTGAATACATCTGGCTTCGTCCAGGATGTCCTCAAGCCTGCCACATGACCACGATTTCATGCGTCGCGTGATGTGGGTTGCATTCTCAGCAGCCCGGGACTCCGGGTGAGGTCGCTGTAATAGTAGCTGGTACGCAACCGTTACCGCTGTCCAAGAGATGGGTCGAAGTGGCGAGTCAGCGGCAAACGCTGATATTAAGCGGGCCAATTCATTCACAAACGAAGACCCGGCTGAACCATACGGAATCATTACGAGATTCCTCTCCCACTGCACACATTCGTTGTATACGTCTTGGAAGCAAGCTTGTATGTCATCCGCCGGACTGTTCCATATGTTTTCGTCGAAACTATGCTGAGAATCGTCCAGACCGGCAAAAAGCAATGTTGTATCTCCTCCTGGCAATAATGACTGTTCAGGCGATGTCTCACTGATAAGAACGCTTGATTCAGCACTGGTGTTGGCCACATCAGACGACCGGGGCTCTCTCGTTGTCCCTGTTGCTGCGGTCGACAGTTCAGGGCAACTAGCTGGAGGGTCGGTGTTGCGTTGCGTACTGGCGCTAATTGGTGGAGCAATTGGCTGGCTGGCGGAAGTCATGCCACAGGTTGCGGCTGATAGATTCCTGCACCTCAACTTCGCCCTTGGCGCACAGTTCGTACATTTTATACTGTTCTTGACACAAACACATGATTTGCATGTCCCAGAAGGACCGCATGTGCAACACTTAGCCATACTACTGTGGCATAAGGAAGCTGGAGGTGCAAATGCAGCGGGTGATAATGCAAAATTGCTAGAATCGGTAACAATTGCCAGTTGATAACTGATGTAGAAAAAACAACACCAGAGCAATGCAGAGGTGCGACGGGGAAACACTAAGCCAACGAGGTGAAGAAAACACGGCACTGGTGCTGCGCCCAAGGTGCATACCAAAATGAACTTACGGGAGAGGTTGTGAATGCAATAGAATGCTACCCAGAAAGTGAGGATGTGAACACCCGAAAGAAAAAGGTTAGCCCAGCAGCGCATGCACAGTGCCAGGCAAAAGGTGCTAACACTGCAGCAGTCCCTCAAACAGGTGGGAAACTTCAAATCAAAAGAGCTAACAGCAAGGAACACAACACAACCCAACAAAGCGAATAATAAAAAGCAACGTACCATGAACAGTCCTCCAGAATATTCACCAAGCTTCCTCATCAGCCAGAGCTCCCAAATCACCAACCGTCCTCCACCAGCCACCTACTACTACTACTACTACTACTACTACTACTACTACTACTACTACTACTACTACTACTACTACTACTACTACTACTACTACTACTACTACTACTACTACTACTACTACCACCACCACCACCACCACCACCACCACCACCACCACCACCACCACCACCACCACCACCACCACCACCACCACCACCACCACCACCACCACCACCACCACCACCACCACCACCACCACCACCACCACCACCACTACTACTACTACTACTACTACTACTACTACTACTACTACTACTACTTGGTCCGGCTCATCGCAATTGTCGCTTATCTATCGCCACCAAGAACAGGAGTTTTGTTGCCGCTCTGTTAAATTTTCAATAGGCATAGTGAGGAAACATGATACATGAATACCCTCCGCCACAAGAAAAAATATTCAGCCATGGAATCAGGTGAAGCGAGTCATAGAAGGGAAGCAAGGTAAGCAAAATGCACGAAATCACAGTAAATCAGCGAATAAGCGCGTTCTTGCACTCACACTCTTACAGGTCCAGAGTTCATTCAACTCCCCATCACTCGAGCTGCCGCCGCTACATGAGCTGACATCAATTTGCTGGTGTCTAGCTGCTGGCGTAGACTGGTAGAGTTTCGCTTGCTTTGTCAGCCTGTCGTATGGCAGCAATGGGACAGAAACAGTTGTGTCCGTCACTTCGGTGCTTGAAGAAACCGTGGGCAGTGTGACCTGAGTGTCACCACAGTGTGTTTCAACAGAGCCTTCGAATGAGGCATACAGGCCTCTCCAGATAGCTATCATACGCTCCAATGGATAGCTGACGACGACTCTTGTAATGCTGCGCTGCTGCCAAGTCCCCGAAGGAACAAAAGGAACAACCAAACGTCCCTTGCATGCGCGCATCGCATCAAAAACACCTTTCTTCTTCAGCGTGACGCTCATACTCCTCTGCCGTGCACGCGTGCCTGTCACGCTCTCCAGGATGTCAGTTGCCCCTGCTACAGTTCCTGTCTTCGGGTTGCTGCGCTTGGCTTTTGGCAACACAGACAGTGAATGGCCAATTTCCACTTCCCAAAAAAGTCGAACACATCGCGATTCAAAGCGCTAGTCGCGATCATTTTATCTTTGGTGCCTCATTTGATCTTCCCATCACAACCTCCCAAGCAAAAGTAAGTTACATATCGGGATTGGACTGGGTTTTACCTGTCAGAAAGTGTGTGGGAGATAAGCGACAATTGCGATGAGCCGGCCCAAGTACTACTACTACTACTACTACTACTACTACTACTACTACTACTACTACTACTACTACTACTACTACTACTACTACTACTACTACTACTACTACTACTACTACTACTACTACTACTACTACTACTACTACTACTACTACTACTACTACTACTACTACTACTACTACTACTACTACTACTACTACTACTACTACTACTACTACTACTACTACTACTACTACTACTACTACTACTACTACTACTACTACTACTACTACTACTACTACTACTACTACTACTACTACTACTACTACTACTACTACTACTACTACTACTACTACTACTACTACTACTACTACTACTACTACTACTACTACTACTACTACTACTACTACTACTACTACTACTACTACTACTACTACTACTACTACTACTACTACTACTACTACTACTACTACTACTACTACTACTACTACTACTACTACTACTACTACTACTACTACTACTACTACTACTACTACTACTACTACTACTTCGTACTATCTCAATAAAACCTACGTGAAATGATGCTCCAGTTTATTTTATATTTCTACTTCACTCAACTCTGGGTCCATTAATAATTGGCACGCAAAGTGTGAGAGAGGGGTGATAGCTAACCACGGCAAGAAAAGAAAAGAATTGCTTAGGATGCACTGCACCAAGATACTTGTAAAACTACGAAAAGTGACTCAGTTAACCTCAAAAGGTTTTTTTTGATTTCCTTTTCCAGCTACCTTCATCTTTTCATCGGTTTGTTCTCCTGTTGAGCGAGACTGGAGAGATCGGCCAGGCGATCTGCTTTCCGATTAAATCGTAATCTAAGGAGGGTGAAACACGTTATAAAAAAGTAACTTACAGATATTTAACGGACGTGCTTTGCTGAAACGCTGATGCAGACAGATTCGTCAAACCCATATTGTTCAAACTTCTGGATAGAATAAAGCAAGGGGGAAAGTGATAGATATTTAGAAAGGCGACCCTGTCCTTTTTTCTATTATTGTGGTCACAATGTAAGACCTAAAGACGCCACTATTTGACACGTCAAAGAAAGTTTCTAAGTAAGGTGCGTGGCACCTGGATCAGGGCGTACTGTTTTACTACTCCATGGCTCGTACCATTGTGTGGCCGCCTCGTGCGCGTGCATGGCAGACACTTTGTTCCAGTCCGTTTTCGGATGTGCATATAGGAGGAGGAACAAGGGGGAAAGTGATAGATATTTAGAAAGGTGACCCTGTCCTTTTTTCTATTATTGTGGTCACAATGTAAGACCTAAAGACGCCACTATTTGACACGTCAAAGTAAGTTTCTAAGTAAGGTGCATGGCACCTGGATCAGGGCGTACTATTTTACTACTCCATGGCTCTAACCATTGTGTGGCCGCCTCGTGCGCGTGCATGGCAGACACTTTGTTCCAGTCCGTTTTCGGATGTGCATGAAGGAGGAACTTGCCTTCTTTGGAACTGGTCCTTGCAAGAGCTGTTTCGGATATCTCGTCTCCTGAATTATTTTTCTTCCGCGCTGCTGAGACCTCCTTTCACGGAATATTACTCAATGACAGGTGAGTTGGCTAGTTTCCTTTGTCTTTGCTGCATTCGCCTGTATTGACTCTTGACTTGATTTTAGGTGGAATATCAATACGAGAATAAATAATGGAAAAGCTGTTCTCTTTTCTAAATTTAGCTTTTCCGCTGTAGAGACCTCCTTTCATGGACTATATTCAAAGACAGGTGGGCTCAGAGTTGACCAGTTTCCTTCGATTCATTTGCTTCTGCTCACCCCTTCATTTTCGGAAGGGTGTGTTGATTTGAATCGGATTTAGATCCATTCGTATCTCTTTTCCTTTGCCCACAGTGTCCGAAAAACGCTAGCTCACCTTCTTGACGGTAAGGATTATGTTGCTGCTGAGGCGTAAATGTTTTGTCGAAATACTTATGTTCAGTGCCCTTGACGCATTCGTTATCGTATTATCGCACGTCAGCATTGCTAAAATATTGGATTTGAGTGGATATGCATCAGTGTCATGGTACATTGGTATGTGACTGGTATTGCTTTCATACTGCCGTGCCCCGATCATAGGGTAGAATCTGAATTTTGCAGAGGCGTAATGTTGTTGGTAGTTCCCATTCGGGAGGGAAAGGTTCAAGGACGCATTGAACGATTAACGTTATGTAAAAAAATCGCATATCCCCGAAAATCTCTTTTATAGAGAGGTTCAGTGACTAGCTTGCTTCATACGAACGAACCAATGGGTCCAGTCTAGTCAGAATCTCATATGATTGGATTTGTAAACTCGAGTTTGGGCTGTTTGATTCGTGAGTGGCACCAAAATTGCACTGCCCCAAATAAAGTTGCATGCCGGCAAAGCACGAATTAGGATCTACAATCTGTTTGTAGTGCCTGTAAGAATGTGCTGTACATGTACTGTGCTTTCTCTGTTTTTTACTCATGTTGCTATAGAAAGGGTCAGTGGCTCATTTCATTCAAGGCGAATCAATGGGTCGGTCTAGGTTAGAATCTTGCACTGTCACTGAGAAGAAATCAATTTGTATCCCTATTGGAGAAGCAACTGTATGCACTCGTTATAAGATATGATAAACAGGGGTGTTACAGACAGTACGACCACTACGACCATGGTTGTACCATTTTTCGTCCCGGATGGTCCACCCAATTCATCCGAAAAAGCAATTAAAAAATTCAAGGATCTTCGGACTCGTACACAGCTTTCATTGCAAGGAGCATATTTGGTTCAGACTTGATGCCTAGCAGCTAGCCCAATACTCCAGACGGCTATTTATTGTGATAGGTGGTTGGAGTTACGAGTAGAGACAACTAGACAATGGATTCCTCACGGACGCATTCACTGCAAACTTGACAGAAACAGCGTTAGAGGCGGTCACTCCGTCCCGAACTAAAATTTTCCAAGATCTACCATGTTACAATGGCGCCGGATGATCAGCATGGTCAAGAGATACTACAGGTATGTCACTTGTCAGCTTCAACATCGATATAATATTATTATTTCCGCAACGACACCAACCTAGTACCTCGGGCTCCTGACGACCTACCGCAAGCTGATCCGAAAATGCATTACAGTTTACAACCGCGAACGCCGCGCTTTTCAACGGAATAGGGAAGCGCTTCATTCTTCGAAGTTGACAAGTGTTAGGACTGCTGCTGCACGGCGGCAGAACATTCTGCAGCTGTTCACTGACACGACCCGCTTCACCAACTGACTTACGATCGTTTCGTTCTCCGCGTTTACTGCAACAAGAATTGCGTCCGCAACGACAGACCGAAAGTCTCTCACAAACTGAAGTCCTGTTGCCACGAAGACGGAAGATTCCGCAAGCCCTTTCTTCTGCTTCCAGTGTTTGAACTTTCCGGTCTAGTCCACTGGCAGATCTTTGAATCCCACCAAACAAAAAGAAGATCTTCTGCTCTCTCTGAAAACAACTAATATAGTCATTACTTCGCAAGTGTCCGGGCCAGTCGTGTACATAGTGTAATTAGCGCATGCGGGGCACTTTCGCAGGGCATGACAAACCGCGCTTTACCGGTACATTTTTGCACAGCGGCTGTCGCTAGAACGCGCAGCATGCTGAATGCCATGATATACCATATACCATGATATACGACTCCCTGCTTGTAGATCTCCTGTACTTCGGATTTTGGGATTTTTTTAATCCTTTCTGCCTTGGCTGCCTACCTACGATAAACAGAAAATACCAGTGGCCCATATGCTGTAGTCTTTTGGACGCTGAGTCGACTGGTTTTGGTTCGAAAAGGCTGATATGCAGCGTTCGGCCCTTATACCCAATCGAACGTGGTTGAACAAGCGGTTACCTGTTCGTGGGTGCCCAAACACCTGGTCACCACGCCAGCAGTCGACAACTTTCACACCAAGGTTCAACTCGAGTTCAACTTGAGTGACAGGACTGCATCCAAAAAAGGCCAAACAGGCTAGTAAGTTGTACCCTGCAGGCACGGTGACCAGGTGACAGGTGTACGCAAGAGCACGTGACCGCTTGTTCAACTATGTTCGATTGGGAATAGAGGAGGAACGCTGCATCGCAGCCTTTTTCGACCAAAACCAGTCGACTCAGCGTCGAAAAGACTTCAACATATGGGCCAATCGTGGTCATCCTTGCTTTTATAAGAACGAAATGGCGCTTTTAGTGACATTTTGCATACAAATCCCCATCTAGTAGGGCGCAGTCACCCAGTTTCGGTGGAAGTGAGCGAGTTCGATTGGGATTAAAGTAGGAAGGGAGCATCTCAGCTTCCTCGGACCACGACCATTCGACTCAGCACCCCGAAGACTACAACTGGTGAAATTTGGTTTAAGCCTTAACTTCCCCTTTAAGACAAAATCAAGGAACAAATACCTTCGGTCCGTTGGTGTTCGTCCTAAAGAGGTTCGACGGGATAGCATTCATACTTACAAAAGATGTGTACAATTTTACTATTAAGGATAGCCTTGTTTATCTCTCAGTATCTCCAACCGTAGCCTTGCCCAAATATTATATCCTCAGGATTATCAGTGTAGTTGTTGGAATGAGGTGTTTGAATCAACAATATATACGTTTACATTTTAATACATATATATTGGTCTTCCTTTGCTCTGCAGCTTTACACAAGTTTACCGGGTGTTAGCGGCCGTCGTGAGTTCTCTTTTTAAACGGACACAATATTTTACTTTTTTTCACATTTTTATCAACATCAACAGGATTTTGATATCAGTGCAATATGATGCAGAATGACCTTGTCACGACCACCCATGACTACAATAGAGAGGTTCCGGGGTACGATTTTCCGTGCCAAAATCCGTGTGGGCGCTACGGATTTTTTCCAGGAGTGCTCCATACGATTTTTCGGCAAGGAGAATCCGTATGGACTGGCTTTCACACGAACCATGTTTCTTATTGAGATTTTGCGTCATCGGCTGCAGAAAGATTTTTCGCGTACAAATTTGGTACGAGAAACATGGATTTTCCGCGGGAAGTTTTGATTTCGGTACAAATTTTCAAAATATAAAGGCATAGCGCGGGAATGTGACGTGTTTGCGATCGTAACCTAGGCAATGACGGCAAACACATAAGTTCCGTACTCCGGAACATTTCACTGCTCGAAAACGACGTATAAAAAATCCGTAGCGCCTCTACGGATTTTGGCACGAAAAATCGTACTCCGGAACCTCCCTACAGTCCATTTCAAAACTATAGACGCGTACCTAGGCAAAAACAGTTATGCCAGCATCTATACCACATAAAATCTGTGATCACTTTGTGCATAAATTTTTCCAAATTGGGCGTCTGTTATCCAATCCTTTAGAAACTATATGAGAGTAATTGTGGAGCGATCCTGAGCAATATTCCGAAAACTATTCTCAAAAAGTTCCAGCCAAATTTGAAATATTTCAAAAACCCTACGCGTCTATAGTTTTGAAATGCACTGTAATTCTAAACACAGGATCAACAAAACCATCTGCGACATGCGCATTGTTATATTTCTCAAATAAATCTGTCATATACATGTAATACTATGAGGGCGTTGAAATCTGAAACATCCCAATAGCAAGACAACGTTATGACAGTCATGAAATTCTGCAATGGCAACAGCCAGAGAATGACCTGAACATACATCAGTATGACTGTACAGTATCACCACAATTACACACACTTTTCCCTGCCAAGGAACATGATTATGCAACTGCCATCTTCTGCAAGAAAAGGATTGCACATCAATGCGTACAGAAATGATGTAGAGGCCATCATTTAGGGCCTTTCTAAGTTACATATAAATAATAGCAATACGAACTGCTTTATGGCAGCTTTCTAAAAACCGTTATTGTGGTCTAGTTCTGGGTCTTTCCCCTAGAGAAAATTTATAAAATTGCTTTCCAAAACGCCATGGACCCTGTCTAAAAAG